AAAACCTTTCCCATCAAACAATGAGGATAAACAAAATCTCATCTTACAAATTTGTAAAAGGATTTTTGAAGCTATTCTTTATATTCAGAACTTATTTTTTCAAAAAAAATTAATAGCCAATATACTATATATATATATATATTTATTTTTTTTTAGAAACAGTTTAGACTCTCCACTCCAAATGTATAGTAAGACTATTGTTTAATTAAAAAAAGACTGTTGATTAGAATTTTGTAATGCAATCATATTAACATAATTTCTGTAAAAGCACATATAGGTGAATGTTTTTTTTATTAACATATTTTTTTTCTTTTTGTTTTTTAGAATGGTTCAAATGTAATAATAAAATGGAAATTAATAATGATAGAAATAGAATCAAATAATTAAAGTAGATAGAATTAGAAAATCATGAGAATCAATTTAAAAATCAAGATAATGAAATTTTTTATCAGAAGAATGGAATAATGATTTTAATTTAGGAGGTCATGAAATACATCTTGCTGATGATGAAATAGCCAAATGGATCTTAAGTTCTTTAATTGAATCTTCTTTAGAATATCCTTCATTTTTAAATTCGAATGAAATATTTGCTAATGTATAAAATTATAAATATATTATAAATAAAAATTTAAATTTTAACAATGCATAATTAATTTTAAAGTTTATAAATATACAGTTTAATTTTGGATTTAATGATTTATAAAGTCCTATAGGTCATATAAGGTCATAATCCAACACTCGGAATATTATGTCACGTGAATCGATTTTTATATTTCTCTTAAGGCATTAAGAATTTGATAAATTATTATCATTTAACGTTAATAATAGCATGAAAAATATAAGGTTGAGAAAAATAGTATTGCTTTTAATATGATCCTTATTCCTTTTAAAATCACGTATGTTTGTAACTTGATTTCACAAAGTAGATACATACTTGTTTCTAAAATCATTATTTGTTGATTGTAATTTGATTAAATATATCAAGCATCAAATTATCAAACGATTAGAATAATAAGAACTAATTTATTACGATCAGCTTCAAACCTTATCATTCGTATTCCTTGCTTTCGGTGATATTAATGAGCAAATCTCGTCAATCGACATTTCCTCCTAATTCTCCGGAAGGGCTAATATATGCAAATGTATCGATCCTTGTTCCTATGAATGTGTATTATCATAGCCGATACGTTTTTTTTTATCTTCGATGCTACGCCAATCAAAGAATTTTGTTCGAGTGATGTTTCACGAGTCACGTGGAATACCGTCCAAAAAAAATAAATTAAAAAAGAAATCTTAAGGCAAGAAAGTAACATTAGTGAATTTCCTGTGTTAATAGTATTCTCCTCTCGGAGGACATTGTCAAAATCCATTTGATTTAAAAACAAACATGAAAACTGAGACTTATTTATTGTCGATTCAATTTTGTCAAAATCATAAACAGAATTTTAGTTCTAATTTAATAAATAATCACTTATTAAACGTTTTACTCGTTATTCCTTTTTGACAATGATTGAACAATTATATAACCTGCTGCTGCAATTGTAGCAAGACCAGTTAAACTACCATATAACCATCCGCTAGACTCTTGTTCTAAATTAAAAAAAAATTTTTTTTTTTTTTTTTTTTAATAATTATGAAGATAATATATGAAAGACATAAAGTAAACGAATTACCTTGTGTAATTAGAGTTGTTTTTGATTTTGAGCGAGTTTGATGAATTTCTGGAAGAATTTGTGCAATGATTTTATCGTTTTCAATAAACTCGAGCGTAGAATTTTCTAGAGAATCTTCGTCGGGGTTATTTGTAAACGTTGCTCCCACGATCGCAATGTATTTTCCTTTAAATTTCTTTTCGGCCAAATCTTTAAACATTCTAACCTCCTTTTCAATAGATTTCTTCGCAGCAGGTCCCGAATTTACATCCAACCATTTAACTCCAACGACGATAAAAATACCAACATCTGAAGCAAAGATGAGATCACCCTCATGATAATTATTACCATCATCAATTGCAAGCCAAGAATATTCAAATAAATATTCAAGTCCGGGAAGATATTTTTCTAGATTTTCTAAAAGGTATTTCTTTAACTCACCCTCCTTCACATGTTTATCAGTGTAAGCTTTCCAACCCAACCTCTTTTGTTCATCTTTTAAATGAATATAATTAACGAAAGGGTCATACCATTTCATTGAAATTTCCAAAAGACATTTAACCAAAGGATTAACATTAGATTTAATCCATTTGAACTCAATCTTCCAAATGCCGATTAAGAGCTTTTTTATCTCATAATTTAGTATTTTATCATTATCCCTAAGTTGACTGAATTCCTCATTAATACAATTTTCCACCTCGGTAACGTTGTTAATTTGTTTATGTTCCATTTCTTTTCCATTATAAGAAATTTCTGTCGATGTATGCTTATGCTGAATAGCTTCAAAAATCCTTTTACAAATTTGTAAGATGAGATTTTGTTTATCCTCATTGTTTGATGGGAAAGGTTTT